ACACTTCAACATGCCCATGCTAAGCAACATCCCTCTATCCCAAGTAGAGTTCTCCCTGACACTTCCACCCCTAAAGGAAGAAGCATTCTCCCTTCCCTGCCCTTGGGGGTTTCAATGAATGCAAATGGGACCAGCAAACCCTATCATTTCCTTTATGGATATATAATGGCTCTGTATAACCAGTACAATTCATAGATACTCATTGCCATACCACTATTGTTTGTTCCCCACCATATACAATTCACAGATGTATCATTGCCATATTATCATTAGTTTTGTCTCACCATATACACCATAGATACTCATACATAATTACTATTTATTCCCACCATATACACCCACAGATGCTCACTGCCATATTATCATTGTCTATTCCCACCACAATTCACAGATACTCATTGCCATACTATCATTGTTTATTCTAAACCATATACACCATAGATACTATTGCTATTATTATTGTTTGCTCCCACCTATACACCACAGATACTATTACATACTCACTGGAAGCTGCTGCTCCCACCATATACAAATTCATGATACATTACATATCATTGTTTGTCTCAATTACATACACCATAGATACTACTAGTACTGGTTGTTTGTCTCTACCATATACAAATTCACAGATACTATTGCCATATTACTGGTTGTTTGTCTCCACCATATACACCACAAGATACACAAGCATACCATTGGTTGTTTGTTCCCACCCAGGCACTCAGATACTACACATTTGGTTGTTTAAGTTCTCACCATATAATTCTCATGGATAACATGTTAGCCATCTGTTGTTTGGCTCCCACACCCAGATGCCACAGCATACTGAAGCTGTTCTCCCAGATACTTATTGGCTATATTACTGGTTGTTTGCTCCCACCATATATACACCCTTACAGATACTCATTGCCATATTTCATTACTGGCTATTGTTTGCTCCCACCCATATACTAATTCATGGATACTATTGCCATATTATTGGTTGTTTTGTTCCCACCTCCTTATATACAATTCATGTAGATACTATTGCCATATTACCATATTGCTTGTCTTACCTATATACAATCTACAGATACTACTGACATTTGCTATTGTTTGTTCCCATATACAATTCTACAGATACTATTGCTGGTAGATAATGTTATTTGTTCCCCACCCTATATACAATTCACAGATAATTATTGCCATACTTACTGGTTGTTTGTTCCTACCTTATATACAATTGGCCAGGATACTTCCATTACATATTATCATTGTTTGTCTCACCATATACACAATCCTCTATCACATACTCCATCATTGTTTGTCCCCAACCATACACAACCACACTCATTACATACTCATCATTGTTTGTCTCCAACCACAAATCACATGATACTCCACCATATTACTGGTCACTGTCTCCAACCATATACAATCCACAGATACCTAATGCCATACCATCATTGTCTGTCTCCCAACCATATACAATTCACAGATACTTCCACCACACATTGGCTTACTATTGGTTGCCCCACCATATACAATCTTCACAGACACACTATATTGGTTGTCTTATTCCCAACCATATACAATCTACATACCTATCACATATTACCATTGTTTGTTCCCACCATATACACCAGATACCACTGCCACACATTGCTCTTGTCTCCACCATACATACACAATTCACAGATACCATTACTGGCTGTCTCAACTCATATACAACTCACAGACACACATTGGTTGTTTGTTCCCAATTCATATACACAATTCACAGACAATCTTCACTATACACTGGTTGTCTGCTCCCACCATATACAATCTACAGATACTCACTGCCATATTACTGGTTGTTTGTCTCCCACCCATATACAATCTCACAGATACCATTGCCATATTACTATATTGTTTGTTCCCACCATATACACCCACAGATACTCATTACATATTACTGGTTGTTTGTTCCCACCATATACACACCACAGATACCACTGCCATATTACTGGTTAGTTTGTCTCACATACAATCTCACAGATACTATTGCCATATTAATTGGTTGTTTGTTCCACCATATACAATCTACAGAGGCCACTGCCATATTATCATTGTTGTCTCCCACCATATACACCACACACTACTGCCATATTACTGGAGCCATTGTTTGTTCCCACCATATACAATCTCACAGATACCACCACACATCACTGCTTGTTTGTTCCCACCATATACAATCCATAGATACTACCAAGCATACTACTGAGCTGCCTGTTCCCACCATATACAATCTCACAGATACTTCCACGTCACACTCATCATTGTTTGTCTCCCCACCATACAATTCACAGATACTACTGCCATATTATCATTGTTTGCTCCCACCATATACAATTCACAGATACTCACTGCCATACTCCACTGTTTATTTGTTCCCCACCATATACAAATTCACATACCATTGCCATACTCACTGGTTGTTTGTCTCCTACCATATACAATCTGCCAGACACTCACTGCCATACTATTTGTTGTTTGTTCCCAACCATATACAATCCATAGGATACCATTGCCATATTATCATTGTTTGTTCCCCACCATATACACCACAGATACTCATTGCCATATTACTGTTGTTTGTCTCAACTACATACACAACTCACAGATACCACTGCCATATTATCAGTTGTTCCACCATATACACCCTTACAGATACTCATTGCCATATTACTGGTTGTTTGTTCCACCCTATATACAATTCACAGATACTACCACATATTATCAGTCTGTTTGTTCCACCATATACAACCACAGACACCATATTTATTGTTTTGTTCCCACCCATACATACACCCACAGATACCACTACACATTTGGCCTGTTTGCCCCACCATACAACTGCCAGATACTCACATACTACTGGTTTAGCTCTGTTCCCAACCAAGTAATAAATCTACAGACACCACCATATTAATTTATTGTTTGTCTGCTCACATACACCACAGACACTACACGCCATACCACCACATATTTCGTTCCAATTCATATACAATCCACAGATACCATTGCCATACTCACACTGGCTTGTTTGTTCCCACCATATATACAATTCACAGACACACATATTATCATTGTTTGCCCCAAATCATAATAAATCTCTACAGAGCAGCCTTCACTGCCATACACTACTGTTTGTTTGTTCCCACCATACTAAATCACAGATGTAATACTACATAATTGCCATACTCGTTCACCACATGCCAATTCATAGACACCACATACTACTCATTGTTTGTTCCAACTGTATACAATTCACAGATACCATTAAGCATAATTCACTGGTTGTTTGTCTCTACCATATACAACTACACACCACTGCCATACGGTGTTTGTTTGTTCCCTGTCTCATATACACAAATCACAGATACTACTGCCATATTATTTATTTGTCTGCTCCCAATCTATATATACAATTCATAGATAATTTTACTGCCATATTACTGCTTTTACTGTTCCCCACCATATACACCCACAGATACCACCGCCATACTACTATTGTTTGTTCCCCATATGCACCACAGACACTCACGCCATAATGGCTGGTTGTTTTTCCTGTTCACCATGGCATGGGTCTCACAGATACTTATCACATACTACTGTTTTTGTTTGCTCCCACCATATACAATTCACAGATACTGTACTGCCATATTATCATTATGCTCTGTCCCACCACAAATTCTACAGATACTTTGCCACGCCTGTTTGGTTCCCACCATATGCTACCCACAGATACTCACTGCCATACATCATCATTGTTTGCTCCTAGGGCCAAAACTCTTTAAAAACAGGATGTGATTTTGTCTGTTGAGTTGTTATACGTTAAGTAAACTAGGGGTTTTCCCTCAAATGTATCTTGCAGCTCACCTCCTCATTCAAACTTAACACCAACGCAAATGCCTTGAGTCGGGCACCTGTCAACCCAATATCCTCGTGAAGCTTGATTGATACTTCATTCTCCACTCAGAAATCAGAAGACCTCCCCTCTACACCGCGTAGATACAACCCGGCGAGGGTGGGGATATTTTTAGACTCCGGCCCTAAGGCACTTTCCCGGTGGTGCCCCAGAACATGCAGCATGCCTATAGCGCCAGGAGGCTGAGAGCGAAGCTCCATGTTGCTATACCAGCATCATACAGACAAATACGACAGTTTCCTCGATAAAGTCTTCAATGTAGATTTTAAGCGTTACCAAGTATTTCCACAAAGAGTTGACAAATGATGCCTTGGTCTGCCTTATTTGAAGTTATCTTAAAGCCATCAGATATTGGCCTTGAAAAGACAAGAAATGTAAGTGTTTTAAATTCGTATTTTACGTCCATCTTGTAAATTCATTCGTCTCAAAATGGAAAGTCGACTGGTTTATTCGGTGGTCAGACTCGAAATAGCCTTGATGTTGCAAGCAAATCCGTCAGCAGAAGGTGCTTCGTGACATCAGTCTCCAGTATAGCGGAGACTAGATCATTGTATACTGGACACCCCGCCATTGTGGCTGCCAAGAACAAATACCTATAATAATCTGAAATATCAGAATCAAATGTTGATGTTTGCGCTGAATATCGTCATTGGATAGTTTCAACTCTTTGTGGGAGGTGACTGTATGTATAATTTGAACTACTTTGATAGTAGAAAACACTGTTGAAAACACAAGATTTGCAGACAAACCACAAAACAAGGCTTATTTCCTCTTTGAAACATGCGCCTAACATTCATGTAATATGGTGGTGTGTGAGCAGCGATGAACGTACCTGGCGCTAAGTGTGTCCCGTGTGGCGGTCATCAGGAGGTTAGGGATGGTGTAGTATATGATGAACGTAACTTTGGCGCTGGGTATGTCCGTGCGTGGCGGTCATCAGGAGGTTAGGATGGTGTGTATATGATGAACGCAATCTGGCGCGGAGTGCGTCCCAAACGTGACCGTCATCAGGAGGTTAGGGATGGTGTGTATATGATGAACGACGTACCTTGGTGCTAGTGGCGATGAGACGTCCCGGTAAGTGGCGGTCATCAGGAGGTTAGGATGGTGTGGTGTATGGCGATGGACGTACCTGGCGCGGAGTGTGTCCCAAAGTAGCAGTCATCAGGAGGTTAGGATTATGTGTATATGATGGACGTACCTGGCGCGGAGTGTGTCCCGTGGCGGCCATCAGGAGGTTAGGATGGTGTGTATATGATGACCGTACCTGGCGCTAGGCGTAAGCCACGTGGCGGCCATCCAGGAGGTTAGGATGGTGTGTATGATGGACTGTACCTGGCGCCAAGTGTGTCACGTGGCGGTCATCAGGAGGTTAGGGATGGACGTGGTATAATGATGGATCGCAATCTGGCGTGGATAGATGTGTATAGTCCCGTGCTAAAGTGTATCCCGCGTCACTGGTCATCAGGAGAGTTAGGATGGTGTGTATATGATGGACCGTACCTGGCGCGGAGGTCCTGCGTGGCGGCAGTCATCAGGAGGTTAAGGATGCCGGTGTGTATATGATGGACGTAACTGCGCTTAAGTGTGTCCCGTGTGGCGGTCATCAGGAGGTTAGGGATGGTGTGTGTATATGATGGACGCAACCTGGCGCTAAGCGTGTCCCGTGTGGCGGTCATCAGGAGGTTAGGATGGAGTGTATGATGAACGTACCTGGCGCTGGGCGTGTCCCCGTGGCGGTCATCAGGAAGTTAGGATGGAGTGTATATGATGAACGTACCTGGATGCGCTAAGTGTATCCCGTGTGGCGGTCATCAGGAAGTTAGGATGGAGTGTATATGATGGACGTAATCTGGCGCTTGGCGGCGTGTCCCGTGTGGCGGTCATCAGGAGGTTAGATTGGAGTGGCGATGGATGGACGTACCTGGCGCGGGAGTGTGTCCCGTGTAGCGGCCATCAGGAGGTTAGGATGGAGTGTATATGATGGACTGTACCTGGCGCTAAGTGTGTCACGTGTGGCGGTCATCAGGAGTTTAGGATGGTGTGTATATGATGGACGTACCTGGCGCGTGGAGTGTGTCGCGTGGCGGTCATCAGGAGGTTAGGATTGTGTATATGATGAACGCAACCTGGCGCTAAGTGCGTCCTGCAGTGGCGGGTCATCAGGAGGATTAGGATGGTGTGTATATGATGAACGTACCTGGCGCTAAGTGCGTCCCGTGTGGCGGTCATCAGGAGGTTAGGATGGTGTACTGCATGATGGACGCACCTGGCGCCTAGAAGGTGGCATCCCGTGTGACGGTCCCTGCGTACCTGGCGCTAAGTGTATCCCGTGTGGCCATCAGGAAGTTAGGATGCATTGTGTACATGATGGACGTACCCTAAGTGTGTGGTGCTGGCGTGCATCCCGTGCGTGACGATGTGGCGGTCATCAGGGAGGTTAGGATGGAGTGTATAATACGATGCGCGCCTGGCGCTCGGCAGGAGTTAGAGATGGTGTGTAATGATGTATCCCGTGTCCCGTGGCGGTCATCAGGAGGTTAGGATGGCGTGTATATGATGGACGTACCTGGCGCTAAGTGTATCCCGTGTGGCGGTCATCAGGGGAGGTTAGGATGGAGCGTATATGATGAACATTACCTGGCGCTTTGGCGTGTCCCGTGTGCGGCGTCATCAGGGGAGGTTAGGATGGGTGTATATGATGAACGCACCTGGCGCTAAGTGTGTCCCGTGGCGGTCATCAGGAGGTTAGGATGGTGTGTGGCTATGATGGACGCACCTGGCGCTAAGTGTATCCCGTGTGATCGGGTCATCAGGAGGTTAGGATGGTGTATTGTATATGATGGACGTACCTGGAGGCTAAGTGTAGTCCCGTGACGGTCATCAGGAGGTTAGGATGGAGTGTATATGATGAACGTAATTCTGGCGCTCAAGTGTGTCCCGTGCGTGGCGGTCATCAGGGAGGTTAGGGATGATGTGTATATGATGAACGTACCTGGCGCTTAAGTGTATCCCGTGTGGCGGTCATCAGGAGGTAAGTTAGGATGGTGTATATTGATGAACCGTACCTGGCGCTAAGTGTAATCCCCGTGTGACGGTCATCAGGAGGTTAGGATGGCGTGTATATGATGGACGTACCTGGCGCTAAAGTGTGGTCCCGTGTGACGGTCATCAGGAGGTTAGGATGGAGGATGGTGACGTACCTGGCGCTAAGATGGGATCGTCATCCTGGCTTCTGGACGGCGGTCCCGCACCCGTGCACGGTCATCAGGAGGTTAGGATGTGCGGGCGGGCGATGGACGTACCTGGCGCTAAGCGTGTCCGTGTGGCGGTCATCAGGAGGTTAGATGGTGTGTATATGATGGAACGTACCCGGCGCTATGCGGTCCCGTGTGGCGGTCATCAGGAGGTTAGGATGGTGCGGTGCGGCGATGAACGTACCTGGCGCTAAGGCGGGTCCCGTGGCGGGTCATCAGGAGGTTAGGATGGTGTGTATATGATGGACGTACCTGGCGCGGAGTGTCCCGTGTAGCGGCCATCAGAGGTTAGGATGGTGTGTATATGATGGACGTACCTGGCGCGGGAAATGGGTCCCGTGTGGCGGTCATCAGGAGGGATTAGGATGGGCTTAATATGATGGACGTAGGGAGTGGTCGCGTGTGGCAGTCATCAGGAGAGTTAGGACGCAATTCCACCTGGCGCTAAGTGCATCCCGTGTGGCGGTCATCAGGAGGTTAGGATGGCGTGTGTATATGATGGACGTACGCACATCTGAGGCTGGCGTGTCCCGTGTGGCGGCTCATCAGGAGGTTAGGATGGTGTATATGATGGACGTACCTGGCGGCTAAGTGCGTGTCCTGTGTGGCGGTCATCAGGAGGTTAGGGATGGTGTGTATATGATGGACGTACCTGGTGCTAAGTGTATCCCGTGTGGCGGTCATCAGGAGGCCAGTTAGGATGGCGTGTATATGATGAACGTACCTGGCGCTCGGGTGTCCCGTGCGTGGCGGTCATCAGGAGGTTGGATGGTATTGTATATGATGGACGTACCCTGGCGCTAAGCGTCCCGTGGCGGTCATCAGGAGGTTAGGATGGTGCGTATGACGGGACGCACCTGGCGCTAAGCGTATCCCGTGTGGCGGTCATCCAGAGGCGATCAGGATGGTGCGGTATATGATGGACGTACCTTGGCGCCATGTGTAATGTGTCCCGTGACGAGTCATCAGGAGGTTAGGATGGCGTGTATATGATGAACGTACCTGGCGGCTAAGTGTAACCCAAAGTGGCGGCCAGGCCAAGGAGGTTAGGATGGTGTCATGCTATGATGGACGTACCTGGCTAAGTACTTATCCCGTGACGGTCATCAGGAGGATTAGGGATGGTGTGTATATGATGGACGTACCCGGCGCTAAGTGTATCCCGTGACGGGCCATCACTGGAGGCCAGTTATGGATGGTGTGCTTTAGGATGAACGTACCTGGCGCTAAAGTGTGTTTATCCCGTGTGACGGTCATCAGGAGGTTAGGGATGGGTGTAGTATGATGGAACGTACCTGGCGCTAAGTGTATCCCGTGTGACGGTCATCAGGAGGTTAGGATAATTGTGTATATGATGGACGTATAGCGATGTAACGTATCATCTTGGATCGTGTGTATATGAGTCCCGTGCTAAGGTCATACATGTGACAGTTAGCTGAGATGGAGTGTATATGATGATGAACGCAACCTGGCGCTAAGTGTGTCCCGTGTGGCGGCCATCAGGATGGTGTGTATAGATGGGATGGTGCGCTATGTGGCGGTCATCAGGACGTTAACCTGGTGTATATGATGTCCTGGCGTAAAAGTGATCCCGTGTGACGGTCATCAGGAGGTTAGGATGGTGCGGGGTATATGATGGACGAAAACTCTGGCGCTAAGTGGGTCCCGTGTGACGGTCATCAGAGGTTAGGATGGTGTGGCTATGATGAACGCAATCTGGCGCAGGAGGTTAGGATGGAGTGTATATGATGGCGCGTACCTGGTGCTAAAGTGTGTCCCGTGGCGGTCATCAGGAGTTAGGATGGTGTGTATATGATGAACGCACCTGGCGCTGCGTGTGTCCCGGCAAAGTGGCGGTCATCAGGAGGTTGCGATGGAGTGTATATGATGAAATGCCTGGCGCTAAGTGTCCCGTGTGACGGTCATCAGGAGGTTAGGATGGTGTGTATATGATGAACGTACCTGGCGCTAAGCGTAATCCCGTGTGGCGGTCATCAGGAGGTTAGGATGGTGCGGTATATGATGGACGTACCTGGCAGCTAAGTGTGTCGATGTGGCGGTCATCAGGAGGTTAGGATGGAGTGTAAATATGATGAACGTAATCTGGCGTTTTGGCGTGTCCCAGTGGCGGTCATCAGGAGGTTAGGATGGTGTGTATGTGATGAACGTACCTGGCGCTTAAGTGTAATCCCGGCGTGACGGTCATCAGGAGGGTTAGGGATGGTGTTAATATGATGGACGTACCTGGCGGCTAAGCGTGTCCCGTGTGGCGGTCATCAGGAGGTTAGGATGGTGTGTATATGATGAACGTACCTGGCGCTTTAAGTGTGTCCCGTGGCGGCCATCAGGAGGTTAGGATGGAGTGTATATGATGAACGCACCTTGGTGCTAAGTGCGTGTCCCGTGTGACGGTCATCAGGAGGTTAGGATGGCGTGTATATGATGAACGTATCTGGCGCTTAAGTGTGTCCCGTGTGACGGTCATCAGGTGGAGGTTAGGATGGAGTGTATATGATGAATCGACGTATCTGGCGCTAAAGGCGTGTCACGTGTGGCGGTCATCAGAGAAGTTAGGATGGTGTGTATATGATGGACGTACCTGGCGCTTTCAAGTGTGTCCCGTGGCGGTCATCAGGAAGTTAGGATGGTGTGTATATGATGAGACGTACCTGGCGCTAAGTGTGTCCTGTGTGGCAGTCATCAGGAGGGGTTAGGATGGTGTGTATATGATGAACGTACCTGGCGCTTCTAAGTGTGTCCCGTGTGGCGGTCATCAGGAGGTTAGGATGGTGTGTATATGATGAACGTACCTGGCGCTAAGTGTGTCCCGTGTCATCAGGAGGTTAGGATGGTGTGTATATGATGAACGTACCTGGCGCTAAGGTATCCCGTGTGGCGGTCATCAGGAGGTTAGGATGGTGTGTATATGATGAACGTACCTGGCGCTAAGCAATGTGTCCCGTGTGACGGTCATCAGGAGGTTAGGATGGTGTGTATATGATGAACGTACCTGGCGCTAAGTGTGTCCCGTGTGGCGGTCATCAGGAGGTTAGGATGGTGTGTATATGATGGACGTACCTGGCGCTAAAGTGTATCCCGTGTGGCGGTCATCAGGAGGGTTAGGATGGTGTGTGTATATGATGGACGTACCTGGCGCTAAGTGTGTCCCGTGGCGGTCATCAGGAGGTTAGGATGGTGTGTATATGATGAACGTACCTGGCGCTAAGTGTGTCCGTGTGGCGGTCATCAGGAGGTTAGGATGGAGTGTATATGATGGACGTACCTGGCGCTAAGTGTGTCCCGTGTGACGGTCATCAGGAGGTTAGGATGGTGTGTATATGATGGACGTA